GACGGCATTGAACAATTCTAACAACTATAACGAGTTTAGACAGCCCAAATGTTTCAATTCGGAACCCTGTGAGAGTAGACAACTGTAACCTCATTTTAAGGAAGGATGGGAACAGCTGCACGTTGTCAAAAACATCACGTCATTATATGGACAAATGATCAATAGATCTATCACTCTGAGCTTCTCTGTCGATCTTTATATTAGATGCAAATAGTGAGTCGCCATATAAACCAATTGTACCCACAAACGGTCAGAGCAAAAGAACAAATCAGTTTCAGTTTAAACAACCATTAACCATGCACTTTCGTGCGCCGGTTTCCGTTGCTGTCTTTTGGCTGCCCATTTGGATGAAAAATAGGAGAAGAACAGGAAAGTTGAAGGTAGAGTAGAAGAGATAATTGAGAACTTCAGTAAATTGTGGCTGCGAAGAAATTGAGAAGATGCCAGCTGCTTGGGCACCTCCTGGCTTCCTCCTATCCACATCCGCCCCTGGATAGGTCACTCCAGCAAATAAACACGGTGAGGGGCAGTTTACCGGTCGAAAAACCCCGTTAGATGGACGTAGGAGCGGGGTACCAGGGACTTCCTCTCGGCGGTGGGAGAAGCCTTCGCACTTCATTGGACAGCTACCGCCCGCCCAAGCTGGGCAGCCCCCAGCCAATAAGGTGCTGTCCCGTCCACGTTCCGCTTGTCTCATTGGGTGTAAGAGGCTAAGGGCCGACCCCGAAAAGCGGACCAACAATCAACGCACCAGCGAACAAAACAAGTAATCAGAATTCAAAGGCCTTGCGCGACAGGTCTCCAGAAGCTCCCACACGGGTGCTTCGTTCACGCTCCCGCGTTGGATTTACGCCACACTGCACTACCTTGTGGGTCAGACTTTTGAGTCGAAGGCTCCGGTTAGGGTTCCCAAAGAAAAACCCCTTCGTCATGTCGTGCTCTTAAGTCTTAGGCACCCATTTGGAAAACCATCTTTCCCATCTGCATAGTTCTCAAAACAACAAATCACCGAAAATAAATTGTTAATTGCCCGTCGAATGTCGTCAAGCAAGCGAAACGTGGGCTATCTAATTGCCAAGCTCGGTGATTCAATGAACAACACAATCTTCCACTAGTCAATCCGAGCTACTAAACCGACGATCAACGGAATCGTTACTAAAGTACAGCTGCTTCATCCGGAAATAAATACGTGAATGGATCATGTCATAGCGAGGTGGTTGGGGTCAAACAAGACAAACACCAATACAGATTAGGTAGAAATAATACGGATGGTTTATTTCGCCACATAATAGCACGCGGACTGGGAACAGCAGAAGTTCTGGATCTGATTTG